CCCTTGCCTCTCCTTCCCGCTCCATCCTCCACGTGTTGCCAAGCGGCGCAGCTCTGATGAGGTCACGACGCCGGCCGTAAACCGCGAGTAGCTCTTCGCTGTCTACTGGACACAGCTGCACTCGCCAGCGTGGCCTTAACGCCCACACCGCGTGGCCCGGGATTCCCGTCGCAAACGTTCATGCCTCGTCTCTGAGACACCTTCTCAGATTCTCCCCTCTTGCTCCATTCTTTGTCCACGTCCCCTCGCTTTCTGCCTAATACTGTCCTTACCTATGTAATAATATACCTGTCTTACCTTCCTATTATTGTGAAACCTTTTAATAAGAGTTCCTCTTTTGATCCTTTCTTTCCCCAGTCCCTTCCTCTACTTCGTAATGCAAGTTTCCTCAGAACGACTGGGGTTATCCTTCTCCCCTGCATCAGGCATTGCCCAGTGGGGCAAACAGTGGTACTTGGGAGAAGAGCAAAAAATCTCAGATATTTCGCTGGACTGTGGCCCTCCAAACAGATACACAGTTTTTCTGTGTCACTAAAATTTCATGGTGGAGCAATTATAGAAAAACATATCTAAAAAGGCTCTTTGACAGTGGAGGAGGGGGGATGATGAGAAAAAGGTTGAGAAACATTGTTCTATACTAGACAAGAGAGAAGGAACTCTGAGGATATGATGAGATTTAAATGAAATTGATGTTTATAAAGTCCTAGAACAGTGTGTGGCATGTAATAAAAATGCAGTATTTGTGATAATCTCCAATGTTTACTATGCACTAAGTATGTCCAGGCACTATGCTAAGATTTTTACACACTGTCTCATTCGATCTTGCACCCATTCCATGAGGAAGGTACTATTATTATTACAGACAAGGAAACTGAGGCCTAGGGAGGCTGGTTTAATTGCTCGATGTCAAACTCCTGGTGATTGACAGACAGGATTTAAACCTCTGACTTCGCAGACTGACCTCCAGATGCAATGGGAAAGTGACCCCTTCTCCTCACAATGGTGAGGTCACCTACTAGTCAGGGCAGAGGAAGGAGAGAGAATGGAATTAACCAGATGTACAGCCTTGAATGGATCTGGACTCATGGATGGTGTCCTTGTGTGCAGGGCCATGATGATGACCGCCTGTGATCTCTCAGCCATCACCAAGCCTTGGGAGGTGCAGAGCAAGGTACGGACTCCTCCTGACCCAAGAGGAGCAGAATGGTGACAACAGCTAATGTGGCTTGGATTCTCCGGCTCCTGAGGCAGCCCATCTTTGCTCCATCCTCCTCTGCCAAGACATGGAGATCACCTTAGCACCTTTCCCATGATGACATAAAGTGGGGTGGCAGGGCAGGAGTGGGGCTTATGTCATTGCTCAGCCAGAAACCAAGTGGGGTGGAAGCATGGTTAGGAGGACTGGGGCTGGAGCCTGACTCCGTGGAGCGTGTCTGCCTGTTGCAGGTGGCTCTGCTGGTTGCTGCCGAATTCTGGGAACAAGGTGACCTGGAGCGCTCCGTGCTGCAGCAGAACCCCATTGTGAGTAGAGGAGGGACGCCAGCCTGATACTGGGTGTGTGATCTCATCCTGGTGGAGAGCAGTGACCTTGCCATGATGGAGAGATGTGCCCCCTCACCCCTGAGGAAGAGACGTGTGACCTTACCACAGAGATGACCTTTCCCTAATACAGTGGTTCTCAAAGTGTGGTCCCTGGGGACCACCATCAACCTCATTACTTGGGAACATAATAGAGATGCAGATCCACAGACCCACCCTGGACCTAAAACTCTGGGGATGGGCCCAGCAATGTGCTCCCCCATAAGGTTTGGGAACCCTGCTTGCAGGTATGTGTCCTGAGCTCACTAAGTAGAGACTGATGAGTGGACACCAAAACTTGGATTTCCCTTGCAGCTCCAACAGTCCGGGAGTCCCCCTCCCTTGACCCTTTCCTGCCAGCACAGAACATGCAAGGGGAAGACCTTGTCAAGCTGAGAACCTATCAATACTGAAAGTACACAGGCTGGGGTGGAGGGTA